TGATTTATGTAACCATATTTTTGTTTATGGCCATTTAGGTTGTTATTACTTTTCCTTATTACAAATACATATTTTTACATATTATAATACATCTATCTTCATATGCTTGTTTACTATTTCTTGTATTTCTTTTGGAACTGCCTCTAAATAAACCTGAGGTGTTTTTGTATTTTAAATACTAAGTAATACTGCTATATTAACCTCCATAATGGCAAAATCATTCGACACAAAATAGTTAGATGAACAGTCTCCCTTTGTTGAAAAGGATATTGCAATTAATAAGTCACTTGCTGCTGCAGTGTGCCATCAATTCTGGTTCATAGAGACCCTGTATATAAATATAGTTTTTCCAAGGCTATAAATAGTGTTTCCAATGCTATAAATCTTAACAGGAGCAAAAAGTCTCATATTTCTCTTGTGGGGAAACTGATGACTTTGAACTGCTGACCTTGGGATTAGTAGCCCAAAGTGTAACCCACTACGCTTCCAGGCCTCATTGAACAAGTCACTCACTGGTCTTGCAAAGTTCTATTGTGTAATCTCCACCTTTTCTATCACCAAGGCCATGTTTTCCAAGTATTGATCCTTGCCCCTTGTTCCCAACTTTCACATTCTAATCAGTAATAATTATCGTGATCTTCATTGCATATTTGAAAAATTTTGCCTGAACAAGTTTGTAGAATTTTTCAGTTTAATCTTCAGTGACTTTAGTGATTGGTGTGTAAATTTGAATAGTCGTGATATTAACTGGTCTTCCTTGCTAGGCATATTGGTATTATCGTTTTACAGACAGCATTGTACTTGCTTCAAGTTAGATCTTGAAATGCTCTTTTTGATGATAATTGCCATTCCTTTTCAATTTCTGTCTCAGCATAGTAAACCATATGATTTTCTGATTCAAAATGTCCAATACCTGTCCATCTTAGCTCACTAATGCCTAGAACATCAGTCTTTATGCATTCCATTTCATTTTTAATAAACTTCTTGTTTTCCTAGATTGATACATGCCATGTTCCCACTATTAATCAATGTTTATAGTTGTTTCTCCTCATTTTGTTTTGTGTCCCACCACCAAATGAAAGTCCTGAAAGCTTTGTTCCATTGGCTTCATTATGGTCAGCTCTGCTTTGAGGAGGCACCTCTTACCCATTCATATTTTGATTGCCTTACAAGTTGAGGAGTTCATTCATAGTGTTTTCATCTTCACTACTATATCTGATAATGTTATACTGCAATTCATAAGGGTTTCACTGGTTAACCAGTTACAGGTAATCTGCCTCCTCTTCTTCCAAGTCTGTCTTTATCTGAAAGTTCTACTAAAACCGGTCTACTGTTGATGACTCTGTTGTTGTTCCGTCATGTTGGTTCTGACTCATAGTGACCATGTATAGGGTTTCTGAGAAACAACTGGTAGGTTTGAACTGCCAACCTTGCGGTTTCCAGTTCAGTGCTGATTCAACAGTGCCACGCCAGAAGTTCAATGGTTGACCATGCTCATATTTAAAATACCAGTGGTGTAGCTTTTAGCATCAACCACCACACTATGACAAACTGACAGATGAGTCTTTTTAATTTTTTTTTTTAAGAATAAAAGTTATTTAATGAATATATTTGCTTATACTATCTAACTGTGAATTCCTGGTTTGGAGCTGTGGGATCGGCACTAGATGGCCAAGTGCAAGTTCAAATTCACCAGCTGTTCCCCAGAAACCTTATACAGGGTCACTATAAGCCAGAATCTACTGGACAGCACTTAAATAACAACTTATAGATAGTATGAGTGAATGTGATTATGATACATTCATTGTATTTACATGTATTTACAAAAGGTTTATTAGAGTGCACTTTGGGTGTATACTTAGGAGTAGGATTACTGTATCTTTATGTATATTTTCAATTTAGTAGTGTAGGTTGACCCTTTTCCAAAATGCCCAACAACAGTTTATGAGGGTTCCAATTGTTCCATATCCTCTCCACATGTGTATATTTTTAGTTATTTTCATTTCTCCATTTGATGAATGTGTTTTGTGTGAATTGAGTGAAAGTTTGCAGTGCAGATCATCCATTTTGATGAGTGGCTTATTTATTTATTTATTTATTTAACTTTTATTTACATTTCCCTGATTACTAATCTCTATATAGTTATTCGTCTGCCTATATTCTTCCTCCTTCACTGCTTTCTTAGCTCTCTGATACCTTGTTGTTGTTAAGTCAGTTCCAACTTACAGTGATTCTTAAGACACTTAAGAGCAGCTGGTAGGATTGAACTGCCAGCCTTTTGATTCAAATCGATCCTGCAGTCCAATTTTTATCCTGCAGCACCATACCAGAACTCCCTCTGATTCCTTAGCCACAAATCATTGCATTTTCAGCTACCTTTCCTGGAAACAAAGTTTTGTATTCTTGATCTTTTTCTTTTTTTTTTTTTAAAGTGTCATTCTTTTTTAATTATCTATAGAATGAAAAGGAACTCTGGTAGTCTAGTGGTTACGAATCAGGCTGCCAACCTTGAGGTCGGCAGTTCAAAACTACCAGTGATTTCTCAGGAGAAACATGAGGCTTTCTGCTCCCATAAAGATTTACAGCCTCGGAAACCCTGTGCAGGGTCACTGTGAGTCCGAACCGACTCCATGGCACATAACAACAATAACAACATAGAATGAATGGGGTCCTGGTGTTGCTGTAGGACAATGACTGCACTGCTAACTGCAAGGTTGGCGGTTCAAACTCCCCAAACACTCCTAATAAACCCTATGTGGGGTCCCTGTGAGTTGGAACTGAATAGATGGCATTTAACAGCAATAGCAATGGAATGATTGAAACGATTTATGTAACCATATTTTTGTTTATGGCCATTTAGGTTGTTTTTACCTTTCCTTATTACAAATATATATTTTTACATATTATAATACATCTATCTTCATATGCTTGTTTACTATTTCTTGTATTTCTTTTGGAACTGCCTCTAAATAAACCTGAGGTGTTTCTGTATTTTAAATACTAAGTAATACTGCTATATTAACCCCCATAATGGCAAAATCATTCGACACAAAATAGTTAGATGAACAGTCTCCCTTTTCGTAGTGTTTGTTGCTCTAAAGTGCTTTTGAGTCAGTTCCAATTCACAGCAACCCTGTATCCGTATATTTTATATCTGAATAATTCTTGTAAATAACATATATTGCCTCTGTACAACGTTATACAGAAAATGTTAAATTTTGATGTAGTCATTTATCTGTCCTATATTTTTCATATTTAAATAGTCCCATATTTTGACTCTTCATTCTATCATTTCCAGTCTCCATATTCCTTTATAATTGTTTCTTCAGATTGGATATATCAAAATTTCTGGTTTTGGTGTTGTAGATGTTGATGTTAAGTGCAATCGAGTTGGTTCCAAGTCATACTGAAACCTGTAGAGGGTTTTCCTGGAGTGGTGGCTGGTGGAATTGAAGCACTGACTAGTTAGTAGTCTAGTGTTTATCCTACGTCTGACACCTCATGACTCCTTTGTCATAGATAATCATGCTACATTCTGTCTCTGCTTTCACAAATCTGTTTTTAAAATATGAGAGGGCTTCAAAAAATTTGTGAAAAATTCCATTCTCTTTTAATTTCTTTTTTCTACAATCTTTTTGAAGCCTCTTTGTATTACTGCTGCTACCATTTTATATCAATTCAGATCTTCTCTGCTAAATCAGGTAGATCCACTGCAGAGCTCTGTATTTGGCAGTAATTTAAAAAATACGTATTGTTATTCTCAATGACATTGCATTCAATAAATTGAATTTTGTTATGTAAGAATAAGTTATACTGGGAGTGTACTTGCTGTGATCCATGGAGAATAATAGTATTATTAATCCTTTACCGCCTCCCCCAAATGATTGAGGACTGCATTTCTTTCAGTCTTCCTGAAATGAATTCAACCTAAAATGCAATTCTATGGACATATTCTGTACATTTACAAAACTTTTAGTGTCCAATTTTTAAACATCTACTTTCCCCTGTTTTATTATTTTTTTTTTTTAATGTTTTAAACCATAGAGATTCATTGAATAACTTTTATAACACCTTATCATAACTGGAGATAATGTTCAAACTTAAATTTTTTTCTTTTGTTGATTTTTAAGTAGTGTAATACTTTCAGACATTGAGAGCCATTTGATTATTATTCAATGCATTTTTCTGTTAATATTATAAAATTATATTTTATATTCTAAGTACTTGGAAGCCTTCTAAATTGTTTGAGAGAAGCTAGGTAGGTATAACTAGTATAGAATAAGATTAGAGTCCTGGCATGGCACTGTGGGTTAAATCACTGGACTTCAAAGTCGGTTTGAACACAAGGTCAGTGGTTCAAACTTACCAGTCTCAACTCAGAAACCTTATACTGGATTTCTGTGGGTCAGTACTGACTGGCACTTAACAACAACAAATAAGATTATTCTCAATGGAACATTTCTTTGCTGTTCTATTTTTATGTGTTAAGTGCCATTGAGAATAATGGGTAGAAGTTGTGGAGTAAGTGATGCTACACTGTAGGAATTGCAGTAAAATGTGTATCTATGGAAAACTGCTTTGTTCTGTATAGACTTTCACTCAGTTCACAAACACACATACAAACCAATATTCATGTTTTATTTAATTATCTTCTTATGGACCATTGAGATATTAGCTGTTTTGGTGCAGTAGAATCCAGACACTGACTTTACTTCTAATACTAGTATGTCTTTAGGCAAACCATTTTATCTTCCTGAATTCATTTTTCCATGGCTTAAAAACAAATACAGTATAAAAACAAGTATAGTGGAAGGTGTTTTAGAAATTCTGGTCTTCTGCTAAGAAAACATGCTTAATTCAGGAAAAAGTAAAGCATTTTAAAATACCTGTATTTAAAAGGACATAGAACAATTCAGGTTTAATATAAAGATTTTCTTCTTATTCAGTGTTTGTGTCTTTCTGAAAAATACTAATGTTCTTTCAATTATCTTCTCTCAAAGGGATTTTTAGCTAATCAGATGAGAGCTGAAAACTTAAAAGATGCATCTGTATTGCCTGATTTGTGCCTGAGTCATGCAAATCAGTTGATGATTATGTTGCAAAATCATAGAAAACTATTGGATATTAAACAGAAGTGTACCACTGCCAAACAAGAACTAGCAAATAACCTACATGTCAGATTGAAGTAAGTGATTCTACTATAACTGATTTAGAATGTTTAATATTGATATTTATGTTTATTTCTCCTGCATTATTAGAAAGTTTCTGTTACTACTATGTTGAAACATAGAGTTTGTATGTCTCAAATTTATTATTTTTGTAACTGCGCTTGCAATTTATGTTCTTTAGCTTAAGCAATGATGTGTTGCTGTTTTTTAAAACAAATTTGAGGACATTGAAAATAATGGATTTTATTCCCTAGGTGGTGTTGCTTTGTAATGCTTCACGCTGATCAAGATGGAGAGAAATTACAAGCTTTACTCCGTCTTGTAATAGAGCTGTTAGAAAGAGTCAAGATTGTTGAAGCTCTTAGTACAGTTCCTCAGATGTACTGCTTAGCTGTTGTTGAGGTTGTAAGGAGAAAAATGTTCATAAAACACTACAGGGAGGTAAGCAGGCCAAATTATGAACCTTAATAAATTGATATATGTGTCTTAAAAATTAATATGTTATTAACAAAAGCTTTCCACTTGTAGTGGGCTGGTGCTTTAGTCAAAGATGGAAAGCAGTTATATGAAGCTGAAAAATCAAAAAGAGAATCTTTTGGGAAATTATTCAGTAAGTGTTTTCTATTAATAAATGAACTATCATTACATTTTAAAGAAAAATACTGTTTTTATTTCATAAATGTAAATATAGTATGATGGCTTTTAACAGCAACATCAATAATATTTCTTTGTATCAAGACATTTTAACAGATGTACATTTAGGGATTTTTGTTTGTTAAGGCATCTGATAAGTTGAATTTTAAATATAAAAATTAGGCATGAAAATTATTACTGTACCAGGTATTTATTTAGGAAATTTCATTTTTCAGTTAAGCAATGTTATGAAACTGAAGAATAACAACTATAGTAAAAATTAACTGTGTCTGTTATTTTGTCACGCAATTGGAGTCCTTTTGACTTTAAATAGTATTGCCTTTAAATTTAAAATACGTTTATTAAAATTTAGTATAGTATTTTGAAGAGAAAATAAATTAAGATGACTTGGTAAAATTCCAAGCTGATACCTATCTATCTAAATGTACTTATGTTGTTGTTGTTAAGTGCCGTCGAGTCGGTTCCGACCCATAGCGACCCTGTACAGGGTTTCCGAGGGTGTAAATCCTTA